CTTTCTTGAGTGAAGTCTTAAAGCCAATATGAGAAACAATTACTAGAGGAAATCAACATTATACCCTGTCCAAAGGTACAGAATGGCTGGAGTGGGTTTTATCTTTGGAGAACTGTACAAAACAGTACAGCAAGGCTTGGTTGGGTCCCAGTCATTAGCGCTAATCAGTGTAGGAGGAGCCAGTGGCATGCTGTCCCCAGATGTCCCTGGATAGTTTTAAGAGCCTCTGTTGGGAAGACAAGAACAGGCAATTGAAAAGAATACTTAGCAATATGGTCAAATAAGACAATTCTTGAGATTCTTGAACAAATGAAAAATAGAATTACTGTATAATCCAGTAATCCTGCTTCTAGATGTATATCCCAAAGGATTGAAAACAAGATCTCAAAGAGATATCTGCATTCCATGTTTCATTGCAGCATTATTCACAATGCTAACAGGGAGAAGCAACCTCAACGTCCATGGACAGATGAATGGAGAGAAATGTGTGTGTGTGTGTGTATGTGTGTGTGTGTTATTCATCCTTAAAACAGAAGGAAATCCTTTCATATTCTACAACAGGGATGAACCTTGAGGGCATTACGGTGAGTGAAATAAGCCATTCACAAAAAGACAAACACTGCAGGATTCCGCTGGTATGAAATATCCAAAGTAGTCACACTGTTAGAAACAGAGAGTAGAAAGGTAGTTTCCAGAGGCTGGGGGGACAGGGGAAATGGGGAGCAGTTGTTCATGAGTATAGCATTTCAGTTTTGCAAGATGGAAAAGTCCTAGAGATCTGTTGCACAACAGAGTGGATATAGTTACTGCACACTTAAAAATGGCTAAGGTGGTAAAGTTTATGTTGTGCTGTTTTCACCATAATTTTAAACAAAGGAAAGCCTTTGATCATGTGGCTTGTCCCCAGCTCCAGACCAGTGTGAGGACACTTGCCGCCCTCCATCAGAGCTCTGTGCTGTCCTGCCGACCCCCACACCTTTCCTGCCCTTGCTTTCATTTCATACCAGTTTTCCTGTCCATGGTTCTCAGCTCACACACGGGTGCTTCCCTGAGCACCCAGATTCTCTTTCTAAGCGCTGGAAGGCAAAGTGGTGGAAGGTTAGAGGGAGATGGAAGCTTTGTCATGAGAAAGGGAAGACAGGGGCTCTTACAGTCCCTCCCTGAACTTGTCTGTCCCTCACTTTCTTGTTCTTTGTCGGTAAGTCCCAGTGATGATTTTTGGGTGGAAACATAGCCTCTGAACTCCTGGGAACTACTGTACACTCACCCATTCTCAAGACAGAACTGGCCTTATTCTGGAGAAGACACTGCAGAGCATATTAACGTGGGGTAGGTGAACTAGATAACCTTTAAAGTTCTTTCAACCTCTGAGCCTCTATTATTCCCTCCCAGTCTATTATCTTTTATTGTTATAAACACAGGCTTCTGTGACATGTTTACTCACAATCCCTGTTGACATTTTATATTTTTCTAAATGTCATGCTATTATCAATTATATATGAAGTTTGTATTAATTTATATGTAGGGCAATTTACCCAAAATAAGAGGGTTTTGTATATTTTTGAGATTTTGAAATATTTGATTTATGCAAGGTATGAAACACAATTTGCTATAATAAATTCACATGTCTGCATTCTCTTCTGACTCTGAAAGTGAAAGAGGCCATAAACTATATTTAACAGTTAACAGACTTTTAAAAAAATATTAATAGAGTCTTAGCTTTGGTATCCGTATGCCATCTAGGAACAAACAGGTCTGTCCCGACATTTTATTTATTTTACTTATCTTAACACATAATTTACTAACAAAGAGGACCCTACACTAGCCTTCCCCTAGTGCATTAATCTAAGTGGGACATAAACACTGAGACCAAACCATAACAATCTGTATCATGCAAAGCAAAGCAATTATTTCCTGAAGATTAAAGTCCCTTTATGGGCACTGTCGATTCTTCATCTCTTTCTATAGTAAAAATGTTTTTTATTTGGTTCCTGCTGGTATCCCAGGTAGCTAAAATTTAAATCATGATGTATTTGCTGGAAATCCCATCCATCAAGAAGTGGGAACAGGCAGTACTGTGTTTAGAGAAAGGGTATTTGGACTGCTTCCAAATTATTAATAATCTCTTTATGTTTTAAGCATTTTCATTCTACACAAATGAAAAAGGATATTTTTAACATTTGTCAATAGTCTCACGCAGGACACATTTTGGAAGTCACTAAGACTTTAAAACATTCAGCATACTTAAATTTGAATTTTTGTAGGTCAGGCAATAAAGTTACAGCACTCACTCCTCTCTCATGGAGTGAGACCTCTCTCGTCCCATGTTAGGTTTCCTCAAAATTTCTTAGCAAATATTTAAGAATATTGTAACTTATTTGAACTCCATAATAACAAACCTTAAATAGTTATTTGAAAAAGCTGTCCTGACTCTGCTTTTTCAGATCAATCAGATTTGCTATTGTCTGTAGTAACCGCTGTGTATACAGTGTTCATCCTTGGATCTAGATGTTAGACTGTAGCACACCCCAGAGTGATCTAAGCGGGCTACAATAAAGGGAAACAGGATGAACTAACATAGGCTTTCATTATGTGAGACAGCAGCATTTTGACTTCCTTCTTAACATTTCTTCCTCTCGAATTGTATTTGAGCCTACATTTGTGGATCATCAGAAATATAATAAGAATTGCTCTTTTGCAATGTAAAGTTTAAAAAAAGAACAAAAGAAAATTCCAGAAGCTGTTTAATTTTAATTTTTAAGTCAACTCTATTACTCACCTCTATTTAATTTTTAAGTCACCTCATAGGGTGACTGGAGCCAGCCTGTTGGGTTTGAATCCCAGCTCTACCTTTCTTACTCATGTGATTTAGGGCAAATTAACTGAATCATTTTTGTCTTTGTTTCCTCTTCAATAAAATGGATTATAAGTGGTACTTTGTTCGTGATGTCAGCATGAGGATTACATGACCGTGCAAGGCACGTAAAGCAAAGCCTGTCATATTTAGCACATTGGAAAAGGCACAATTAGTTTCTCACTTTGATTAAAGTGAAACAAACTAAACCCAATTCTCTGGTTATCTTTCTAATAGCTCCAATGAAGAGTAAGGGAATGAGAAAAAAAAGGCTTCATTACACTAAAACAAGTAAGTGTCCACCATAAGCAAAGTACTACGCAAGGGAGAGGCTGAGAAGTGGAAGATATAGCTCCAAATATTGATACCAGGTACAGCTCACCAGCGGGGAAGCTGCTTAGCTCACCTGGGACTCCCATGATGCTCCCTGCATATCTTCCTCCTGTGGCACTTGTTCCTGGCCGTGCTTGCCTGCCTTCAAGACTATCCTCTGAACCACAGGCTCTTTGTTTTAGCCTAACAGTTCCTGGAGGAAAATTGGTGTTCAATACATATTTGTTGATTGAATGAATAAATGCACGAATGCTTTCAAAAATAAAATAGATAGGGAAGCATTCACTGAAGAAATGGGATCTGATATGGGCTTTGAATGATGGGAGAATGTATGTAAGAGTTGCCTGATCCAACACGGGATGTTCAGGTAAATGAGAATTTCAGATAAACAAAAAATAATTTTCAGGGTAAATATGTCTCATGTAATATTTGGGACACACTTATACTAAAAAATGATGCATATACAACCACAACGAGTAAGATATGCAACATTTGGGGGATGAACATGCTTGAAGCTCTTACTCGAGGGGGGAGGGGGGCATGGGCAATAATATGTAACCTTAACACTTGTAGCCCCATAATACCCTAAAATAAAAATATAAAAAAAAACTTAAAAAACTGATGCATTGTTTAAATCCAAATTTCAGATAAACAATGAATTTTTTTTTTTTTTTTGGTATAGGTAGACCCCAAATATTGCCTGGAATATACTTTTACCAAAATGTATTCATTATGTCTCTGAAATTCAAACTTAATTGGACATTTTGTATTTTTGTTTGCTAAATCTGGCAACCCTAAAAGGAGGAATAGAGAAGAGAAAGAATTTTAAGTTAAGGAAATGGCAAGAGAAAAATATGTAGGCAAATTGGTTTTAAAAAAATTTGTCTCTGAGTAGGAATGTCTGAATGAAGAACTGGGATGGGAACACACCTGAAACAGTATGTCCTCTTCCTCACTGATTTTCTTTAAAAAATGTGTATCCCAGTTTGCGAGCACCCTTCCCTGACCCCACCTTGTTCTTTGATACTTCAGCATAGGTGTGTTATATATATGGTAAAGGACAAAGTGTTCTCAAGGCACTTAGCCTTTTGGTCACTGAACCTGTAGAATTACCTTGAATGTCACTGCCTATATAACAGATAGGGACATGGCTGTATTCAAGGAAAAAAATGAGTCATAATAAGCATATATTTAGACATTTCAAATGAATTTATTGGAGCTCCTTAATGTAGAAGCTAACCATATTGTTTTCTTTAGATAGATTTAACCCTGGACTTTGACAGGTGCTGCATAAGTTAATTAAAAATCTTCCCTTTGCTCTTTCAACGTACTTGTTATAAAAGACTGTCTGGACTAACTCTCCCTATCAGTCCTTCCTTCCTTCCTTCCTTCCTTCCTTCCTTCCTTCCTTCCTTCCTTCCTTCCTTCCCTCTTTCCGCTGATTCAGTATTCAGTGATTCAATGTTTTTTTAAAGAATTTGGAAACAAAATTGTTTCAGTTTTTATTTTTATCACATTATCTATACTAAATACTTCAAATTCACTATTGAGCTAGACACTGTCTCTAAAAAAAAACCCAAACCATACTTCATCATAATTTGCTGGGCTATGATGGGCTTTATAAAAGTCTATTTAAATAAAAATAGTACATTCTTCCAGGTGCTCCTGTTGTAAAACAAGACGAAATATTTGAACCATCTCTTAAATTAACATACTTCTGCTTCATACATAAAACATGGGCTGTAAAGTCATAGGACCCAATTGTGCTCACTAACACTAAATTTTCTCATCTTTTCCACTTTTTAACTTTTAGACCTGGTGCATTTGAAGAGCACAGATCCAGAAAGAGGAAGCCACAGACCAAGAAGCAAAGTATGGAAAGGATAAAATATTTATTTTCTGTCAACATTCATGACTTTTGATTATTAAACCTACTTTCATTATTCTGCATTTGTGAAGTGAATTGTTTACAATGAAAAAGGGAAGAGAACACTCAATTTCATGGGATGAAAGATTCTTTCAGAGGTAAACCAAACAATAATTGAGAAGTATGGTCCCAAAGAGTAATAATATAATTTTGCCTTTTAAACTTTATTTCGGTGCTGCCAGATAGCCTGGTCATTATACCTGTTGCCTGAGAATGTGAGGTATTAGTGGACTTTAATCTGGAAATATTAAATACATTGACTGGTTCTCTTCTCCCTTCCTTCCTTCCTTCCTTCCTTCCTTCCTTCCTTCCTTCCTTCCTTCCTTCCTTCCTTCCCTTTCTCTTTCTCTTTCTCTTTCTCTTTCTCTTTCTCTTTCTCTTTCTCTTTCTCTTTCTTTCTCTCTGGCTTTCAGTATATAGACACAGTGTATTGAAAACATTGTTCATTGCCAGTAAATATTAGGTTGGTATTTGCAAAATAGAACAAAATAAATTTATTTATTTATTATAATTTTTTAAATATATATATATATTTTCAGAATATTATGAGGGTACAAATGTATAGGTTACATAAATTGTCTTTGCCCCACCTGAGTCACAGTTACAAGCATGTCCACCCCCCAGACGGTGTACATGGCACCCATTAGGTGTGAATATACCCTTTCCCCCTCCCCACTCCCACCTTCCTGACACCTGATGAATGTTTTTCCTGTATGTGCACTTAAGTGTTGATCAGTTAACACCAATTTGCTGGTGAGTACATGTGGTGCTTGTTTTTCCATTCTTGTGATACTTCACTTAGTAGAATGGGGTCCAGTTCCATCCAGGATAATATAAGGAGTGCTAGATCACCACTGTTTTCTGTGGCTAAGTAGAACTTCGTGGTATACATATACCACATTTTATTAATCCACTCATGTACTGATGGGCACTTGAGTTGTTTCTACATCTTTGCAATTGTGAATTGTGCTGCTATAAATATTAGAGTACAGATGTCTCTTTTATATAACTTCTTTTAGAGATGGGCTGTTCATCTGTCACCTGGGCTGGAGTGCAGTGGCATGATCATAGCTCACTACAGAATCCAGCTCTTGGGCTCAGGTGATCCTCCTGGCTCAGCCTCCTGAGTAGCTGGGACTAGAGGTATGTACCACCACCCTTGACTAATTTTTGTTTTATTTTTTGTAGAGACAGGGTCTCAAACTCCTGGCCTTAAGCAATCCTCACACTTTGGCCTCCAAAAGTGCTGGGATTACAGGCCTGAGCCACCACACCTAGCCACAAATTTTACACAAATATAAGGTAAATAAAAAGATATTTCTCCACAATACAATATTCAATTCAATTTGAAAACTGTTTACTCAGTGCTTCCAGCATGCCAAGCTCTGTTTTAGGCATGGTGGGGGATATGATGATGTAGTCTTTACCCTCAAGGTGAATATGTGTTGATGGTGGTGAGGAACAAAGTCAATATATGAATGAATATAATATAGAACAGAATGTAACAAGGGCCCATGGAGGGGTATGCCCGCAGCACTAAGAAAGGTTTGATGGAGAAGAGATTACATCTTGTTATAAGAGCTGGAGGACATGGTGATTGTGGTCAGGGAGGAAGTAGAAATTAGATATGGAAAATGAGCAAGACTGGGGGGAAAATGTGAGAATAAGTTTCTGGTGGAAATAATATTACAAGTCATTGAAAAAGATTCAGCCTTGCTGGGATGTATGATGTGTGTAGGCAGACAGGGCTAGAAAGTTAGGTTGGAGCTAAACTTCTGAAGGGCTTTGAATACCAGAATGTGGCATTTTTTCTTAATGTGTTTGGCTGCAAGAAATTGTTGAAGATCCGAGTGCAATAATCAGATTAATCTTGTCATCAATGTGAAAAGTGCTTTGAATCAGGAAGAATTTGTGAGTAAAAGTAAGAGTAAGAAAGACTTGGAAGCTATTTAGAATCCACATGAGAAGATAAGACCCTAAAGAGGGCAGGTGGCAATGACAGTGACTCTGAGAGCCAGGAACGTAAGTTGTGCCATGGTTTGATGCTGTCTTTCAGGGGCCTGGTTGGACCGAACCAATCAACTTCCTGCTACTTGTGGATTTAGGTGTGTCCCATTTCTCTTCCAAACACTTGCTCCATCCTGAGCTTTCTGGACTTGCCCAAGAAAGGGGAACAGGAGGGAAACACGTGCAAAGGTTGCCATCCAGTTGTTGGCAAATTTTCTTGCCACTTGAAAATAATGAAAGTGGCATTCAAAAATACTATTTTTCACCCTATAAAGCAAAGAGTGATAGAAGAAAGACTGAGTTCAGAGGAGCTCTGAAGGTGCACCCATGCTGACTTCCTGGTGCCTGCTCAAGGTGCCTCTTTCCAGCTCATGCACTTGAGCAGCTGCCTGACCTTGCACAGGTACCTGTTTACCATCGTTTAATCACTTTTGGGAAGGATGCAATGAGGAGGCACTGGACAGCAGGTATTGCACAAAGGTACCCAAGACAGGCAGGAAAGATTGGAGCCAGACAAATGCAAAGCCATGCTTATGGGGAGTTTGAGAAGTGGAACCAAAGAAAAGATGGGAAAGTCTCAAGTCAGGAGTCAGCTAACGATGAGAACATGATTGTTGAAGAATGGTTGAGATAAAAATATGTAGGATTGGGATACCTGAAACATGGTCCTATTAGGTAGTAGGCCCTTGGGTAATAATAAGAGCTAATATTTATTCGTATTCACTATATAACATTGAAGTTTAAGATACTGTAACCTGAATTTTTTCCCTTTTCCCTGATGGCGATATTGAATCTGAGAACAGCACGGGCGTTTGACTGTTTCAGTTCTGTGTGCTTTTCAGTGTATTAGCACATTCAGTTCTTCAGCAACTTTCTGACACAGGGTCTGCTATATCCTCACTTCACAGGTAAAGAATTTCAGGAAGAAGGAGGTGAGGTGACTTTTCCAGGTCACATAGCCTGGGAGTGGTGACACTAGAATTTAGCTTACAAAGAAATAATAGAAAAAAAAAAAAAAAGAAAGTTATGAAGATAAGTAGTCTAGAAAAGTTAAAAAATAACAAAGCCAGTGTTTCAATATTAAAGTCATTGAAATTTAGGTAAAAATTATGCATGGATGTCATTTAGGACTCTTTAGATTAACATAATATAATGAATGGTACTTAGATTAGATACTTACAACATTAAATCTTCAAAACACATTTTTAAAATTTTTTACAAATTGTACTCACAAAAATGTTAAAATTGAAGTAGGAAGTGTTTGGTGTAAATTTGTTTGGCCTTGTTACTTGGATTGAAATCATACAAAAGACATGTGCTATAAAGATATATTTTTCCTTTTCCCTTTTCCACATGGCTAGACTTTGCCTGCAGGTCTGCAATGGCAACAAATGCATTTGTCTCTGCAATAAATGGGCTCTCAGCTATTGGACATTTGTCTGGAAGGATGTCCAAGATCTTGGGCACATCCAGTGTGGGGGCCTCATGCATCTGTCTGAGTCAGCTCGTGAGGGCAAAGTGTTCATTAAAGAGATGGATGCTCAAGGAAGCCTGGCTACTGAATGCTCTTGGGGAGCTATGTGCTGAGCACAGGGGATCAACTTCCCCTCCAGGAATATAAAGCGGTTCTTGTTGCTCTGAGAGAAGTAATTGTCAAATCATTTTCTTGGTTGTTTAAGAGAAAGTGTTAGCTTGCCTCCTTAGAAAGCAAGGTAGATACTTTGAGCCAACTTCCAGACCCAAGAGTGTCAAGGCAAAGTTTACTACCTCTTAGAGCAGTGACCCACAACCTTTTTGGAACCAGGGACTGGTTTCATGGAAGACCAATTTTCCACAGAGAGTAAGGTGAGGGAGGAACTCAGGTAGTGATGCGGGTGGCCCGGATCCTAACAGGCCGTGGCCTAGGGGCTGGGGACTGCTGTCTTAGAGGAGATGGGAAGTGAAATCAGAGTGTTTTTATCATGATGTTTTTATCAACCAGGCAATGGCCAACCATATTAGTTGAATGCATATTAGTTTAGCATTGGCCTTTTATAGAATAGCTGCTTTTGCCTAAATAAATGTCTTCCAGGAGCTGCCAGATACAGCCCAGCCCTATTACCTCTGTAGGAGCCCATTTTGTCCTTTTCTCCAACCTGTAAGTGGATCCAAGTGGCAAGCTGGGACAATTCTTATGATAACGAGTCACTAGGAGGAGTTTCCAGGGACACCAAACTTGTACTATTCTTTTGCCTCTGAGAAGAGCCTTGCACACCCCTTCCAGGGCTGTGACAATCTGACCGTTCCCATGGAGTGTTGCTGGCTTTTCCTCTCTGCTTCCTTCTCAGAGTAGAACTTCCCATATGGCTTCTGTCATTGCTGCTGTCCTTCAGACGTGAGCACAGTTTACTAGAAATTCACAGGGCAGCCAGGTCACTTGAGGTGGGATGAAGGAAACTAATGGTAAATGATAATCTACATCTCAGAAATAGAAGGTGCTGCTGGCTCAAAGGTGAGGTTTATGTGGATTGAGTGGATGTGGTAGACATGAAAAAGTTCAAGCAACTTATTAGGAGCGATACTGTTTTTAAAGGTCTAGCTGTGCTACCAGTCTTCATCCCCGATGTTCTTGGTTCTGGAATCTTTTCAGTACATTCTTTAGCATCATGCACCATGCAAAGTGGGTACATGAGTTGAAAACTATTGGTGGACTTAACAACACACTTTATTGGTCTAAGGGCATATCACTTGTAATTACCACTGTATAAAGTATTTTTCCATTTTGTTCTTACACCTGGAAGTGTATTTGAGTCTTATTTACTTAAGGAATGAATATTCATTTTCAGGTATACCTGGCTCTTTGCTTTTCTTCTAGCTGACCTATTTTGACTCCTCTCTACTTATTAGCATTTTATCTATAAGCTTAGGTAGTAGAAACAGAAGAAGATCAAACACTTATTTAAGTGTGGTAGATGTTGTAAGGAGAAAAGGAAAAGTTTTTGGAAGATGGGATACAGTTATTGGCTCATTCATTTCAATTACATTGTTACCTATTACAAACAATTAAAAGTTGGCTATTCATAGGAACTTAACAAGAGACATAAAGGTCTTTAGTGAGTGGCTACCTACAAGGCTACCAGCTTACCTTTATGTGTATGCAAAATATTCATCTTAAACATCTAAAGTTGTAGCTGTGACCAGCAATTAAAGTTTATTTTTAGTTAAAAGATTAATTCTTTTAATAGCTGAATGAATATATCTTGAAGTAGGAAACTTATGATATAAGCCACTATCTCATTGGATCTGCAGGGCAATGATAACCTCATTAAAAGTATAATGTGAATGCAATTAAATCCATGTTTCACCAAGGTCAAAGGGATAGACAAAGTATAAGAAGAAGACAGTTAAGCAGAAATGATCAACTGGACATGTTGATCATTTATGTATGTTTTCTATCAACAAAATATCTGGGGAAGAGACAAGTTACTCATCATTTAGGGACAGAGGAAAGTAAATTCAGGCTGTATGATCTGGAACCTACAAGATTATAGTTGCAGTGACTCAAGCAGCAATAAGGGAAGAGCTATTAGCCGAATAGTGGCTTGTTTAGATTTTTTTTTGTTTTGATTTAGAGGAGAAGATTTATTGCATATCTACTGTGCCAGGCACTACCCTGTAGTAATTTTTCATTTGCTAACTTATCTGATTCTTCTAAAAACTTATGATTACTGACAAATGAGAGCATTTGTTTTTGTTAACATGTGTTACCAATAGTAGGTGCAGTCAGTAATGCCCATTTGATGGGAGGTTGATTATAAAATGCAGATATAAGTCTGAGAGAGGAAGAAATAAAGAATAAAGAAAGTCTGGACAAAAATGATTTCAAAGTGCTTCCCTTGACATTATACTTGTATCCTAAACCATTATGAATTGCTTATGGTAGTGCGACACACAAGACAGCTAGTTAGAACTATGCAGACTGTTAGTGGTGGCCATTTGTTTAGGTTTTTTTGTGTGTGTGCTAGCATTAGCATCACTCTATTTCAAGCCTATAGACTATGCCCCT